GTGTTTTGAAATCGACCGAAATTTCTCGGGAGCTGGGGTTCTCCTTTCTGCTTAATGGTCAATCTTTTTATGTAAAAGAGGACGAGATGTCTCACTTCTAGGCTCTAGCCCTCGCTAAACCCAAACACTTCTTCCGTGTGACCCGCTGGGTCGCGCACGATTGAGGCTGTCCACAAAAGAATCGTGCATCCCGACCTTCCCACCTAAACCCAGATCCGCGTAGCTACAGCTCAACGAAGTTCGGGAACAGCGAGGTCGTGTTGAACGGGGTGGGGGATCCAGCGCTAGAATCCCGATGGCCGCATTTTTGCTCAATGAGGCGGGCGCGATCTCCAGGCTTCTCAAGGATTACCAAGGCTGGACTCGAGGCACTGGACCCAACACGTGGGCTGGCTCGTGAGCGCTGTCTAGATGGTAACTGTAAGTACCATGTCCCTCTTTCTGCCTGCTGCCAGTATGATTTGTCTGCAGCCGGCTAACCTTGTTCCGCGGCATTTGTTGATACTTCTGCTGTGCCCTCTCAACGATTTCGCTGCTGTTGTTCAGTCGGTTCTGGTAATTCAGCTTTGGCGGGAACCGGCTGCCAATATTATCATGCGACCTTGAATCTCACCTGTGGAATGCGGACTTAGGAAAACAAGCTCGATATTGTTGCTATCAGCGCTAAGTCTTCCTAGCAGCATCACTATCAATGCTGCTGCATTCTTGCACAAAGGTCTTTCACGGTTCCACGTAAGCCCGTCGGGCAGTTGATTCCCTGCCAGACTACTAACAGCCTAAATATTGTTGATGTCTGTTTTCACATGGTGGTGATGATTGAAAAATCTCATGGGCATGCCCAATCCCAACGGATTGCTTTAGATGCAAAGGCTGTGCAAAGGATATCCATAGCTTGTGCCTTCTGCATGCCCCACATAAATCACTCAGCCTGTCCCGGCTGTGGGTCCAGACCTGCCTGGGCGTGAGGTGTGCCTTCCGTCTCCGATTTCGCTGCGGCGCGAAACAATCATCAAAGCCTAAAGCAGGGATTGTGACCGCGTGTCGAATGATGCCTCCGGAGCTCTACCTCTCCGCTGTCATGTCAAATTCACGGAGCTTGCGGAAGGATAACATTAATTGGTTTCAATCCTAGGGGCCAGCTTTTCCGGCATAATGCGCTCAGAACTGTACGAACTGGCCGGCAGCTAGTCGTCCTCATCCACCTTTGCGGCAGGGAATGTCCATGAGAGGCCTGTGTGAGTGACATGTGCCAGCCTGAAACTATAAAGTTCCTCGATTCCTCGATGCTTCAAGCCCTCGAAACAAAGCCAGACTCATAGTCAGACAACTCTCAGATGGGCCAAGATCCTCTATCAACCCAGGACTCACTACCTCTGCAAAGACTGGCACAACGATTGATCCCGCAATGCCACTCACCACTCCCACGCTATGAGGGCCTTCTTTGTCATCAGAGCTTTCATGGCATCTTCGTCCAAATCAGGCATTGCCTCCTGGTCGCTGCCGGCCTGTCAAAGCAGGATTTTGGTGTTTCGATTCTGCTGGTTCAGTTTTTTGCGGCTCCCGCGTCGTGGTAGGGGCTAAGGGCTTAAAGTTCAGAGGGGGGTCTGGGGTCAGAGGGCAATGATCAAGCGACTATAGACGAAGCACAAAAGCTTCCAACCATACGAGACAAGAAGGTACGGACAAGAAGCTAATGCCTGTTGCTCGAAAGGCTTCGTGTTTTCGGTGCATTCCGGATTAATCCTGCGTGCACGGTCAACGAGCTTGCGCGAGTGATTGCATATGCGGCAGACGATTCAAGACTTGAAGGCTTATGGGGCAATGTCCTGAACCCCAGTCAATTGCAACTTCGCGACATTCAAGATTTGACATTGGAGCAGAGGTGCCTCGTCAGAAGGAGTGGTGCCGCGAGTCTTTAGCTGGGAAACACATCCACGAGTGAAAGATCAGCCTTGTGATGTTAAGGTCGCTGGTCTCTGCAAGAGCTCTCTGGAAAGTGCGCAATAGGTCAACCTGGAAAAGCGAAACCCTTCCTAGGTTCCCCAGACATCGGGAACTTGGGATCTACCCGACCCTGACCCCCCTCAATGCCTGAGCCCTGAACCGCTCCTAAGCCTAAAATGCCCTAAACCCTAAACCCGAAGCCTCCTCGTCTTCGGAGTCCTCCTCGTCACTCGACTCCTCGGCATGCTTCTCCTGATGGGTCAAACATTCCGACGCCTCGGGGTTCCTTGATTCACGAAGCGCTCTACTGGTTTTGTTGAGCTGAGGGCTTTGAAGGCAAGGACAGCTGGCTAACGAGGTGCCACTACACCAGACCCTAGCGTCGCTTCGTCTAGCAAGCAAAAAGCAAGGGGATCATAAGTCATAAGACACCTCCGGGCTATCCCGGAGTCGAGGAGAAGATGCCGGCACGGTGGCCAGAGCAGTGTTGCCCATGCTTTCTCTTGCTAAATTTCACGGGTCGGGGTTTCTATTGGGGGCTCAGCAAAAAAATAACCTTGTCCACCAATGTTGTTCTATGCTCTACAGTGTCCAGCCTTCAAAGCTGGAGCGGCTTGGACGGCAAACTGCACCCATACATCTCGTCTGGTAGAGTTTCGTTGCAATACCACAAGACATACGGGGGGTTGATGATAACATGTCGTTTGGAGCACTCGCCCAAACTGCAATCGGACATTTTCCGACGGTGCTTCAACTGCAGCTTCTCAGAACCCGAAGGCAGTTTTCCGGATTCAGCCATTCAGCAGGGCATTTGGCTTGAGAAAGTTGGAAGCTTCATTGAAGGGATTGAACTATATATAGTCCCACGAGGCATGTGGGCAGCAACTAGGCAGGGACAGGGTGAGCCGCAAAAAACAAAACGCAAAACCTGATGATTGACCTGATGGACGTATTTTTTGGCGACTTTTGTCTCGTATTAGTGGGGTAATTAGTGGGGTAGCTTAGCCCCCCAGCGGAAGCGCTCGCGAATGCTTTCTCCCGCCTTCCCCCGCCCCCCCCAGCCACCCGCGATGGCTTTCGCCGATTATTTGGTGGAGGCTCTTAACATGCTCGCTGTGAGACGTCACGCTGAGCAAGGGGGGGGCCGGGGGGCAGGGGCATTTTTTGGTGGCGCGAAGATCATATTTCCTCAGGTCCTACAGATCTGCAGCAATATCCGCAACAGATTTTGCCTGCCTTTGCAGGGAGAGGGGGGGGTGGGGTGGGGGGGAAACTAAAAACTATTTTTTGCAAACCAGAAATTATATGTTTTTTGAAAATAAAACTATACCTTGTTTGTCAACCATCAATTATATCTTTAAATTTAATGATGATTTTTGCCTTTTGCAAATCAAAAAGTATTTTTGGGGGAACTAACTTTTCGGAGCCGAAAAAGTAATATATTCTTCGGAAGCGCAAACAATATACTTTTGGAAGCGAAACAAATAGTTTTTTGGAAGCGAAAAACTATATATTTTTCGGAAGCGAAACAAATAATTTTTCGGAAGCGACAAAACGAAATATATTGTTGCAAACCCTAATCATAGATTAAAATTATAGTTAGGTTCCACAAAACGCACGCGGCAGATTCAGGTTTTTAATGAACCAAAAAACCCAAATCCTCCGCGTGCGTTTTTCAAGAACGCCTGCGGACGATTCATGCTTTTGTGCTTTATTTTAATGGCTTTTAAAACAAAAACTTGAATTTGCCGTGTGCGTTTTTTGGAACCTAATAACAATTTTAATGTATAATTAAGGTTTGCAAAAATACAAATTTATCTCTTCCAAAAAAATATACGTTTTTTTGCTTCCGGAAAATAAAAGCATTTTCATAGATAAATATTTTCCGCTTGCTGAAGCGGACAAACACAAATTTCAATCACATTTTCAAAACTATTTCAAGACGAGGGCTTGCAACAGACAAAATAAGCCATTTAGTATCGACTTAAATTTTCTTCGAATTGGTGTTGGCCTTTAATATAATAGCTTCCAAAACCGAACTCTCCACGGCGCCATTCCGAGAGGCTTACGCCGCCGTTCGTAGTATGTCTAAAGTCTAAAGGCCAAAGGCCACAATTCCGGCGATTCCGATTTCCAACCCAAGCTGATCCCTGCTCGTTCGCCAGTACTAAAGGAATCCTGTTTAGTTCTGCGCTTACTTACATGCCTAAATGTGGCGGCTTCACTTGTCTGACTTCATGCTTGGAAGTGCTAGGAATCATTAAGAACACACAAGCCTTTGGTTTGCCCGCTGATCAGTCACAACAGCAAGCAACACCTGATCACTTGATACCTGTGCCAGAAGCATGCGGCAACGGCAACAGCAACACTGCTCCTGAAACAAAAGCAACAGAAAACGCAAGTAAACGCACTGAAGCTTGCATTGCTCTCAAGCATATCTCTTCACCGAGTGCGCGGCACCTGAGAAGCTTGAGAACTTGCACAATACATTCAATACATGTCACTTCACCTAACTTATTGGTCGTGTTCAGTCACCTGCAGTGCCCACAGAGTTTGCACCTGAGAACGTGCACAAGTCCTAAAGTCCTAGACCTAGCCTCTTGGGTCGGGCCGGGTCTAGGGTTTAGGGGTTTGGCGTTCAATACTTCAGTTGCATCTGAAACATTGCACAAGTTCTAAACTTCTAGATTACTTTGAACTGAAAAACTAAAAACATGTAAGGACATACTTGGGGCCTTAGTTGTTTTTCCTTTTGGTCGCTCGCAAAGTCCATGAGTCAGTCCATCCTCGCCCGCCGCCCCCGGCCCGCCAAGTCTTCCCGGCTCTGTCCCTCGCACTGGTTCTTCTAGGCTCGAACCACGTGGCTCCAACAAAAGTTTGTGAAACTCACAGTCAGAAAGCTCAATGATCGTGGTTGAAATCAAATTAGTCGAGTTGGGCAGTGCAAATTCAGGGCAGATACAAACCGTTTTCTTTCTCCTGTGATGTAGAGCGACCCTACATGACGACATGCACGCCATATGTGCGCGGCGAGGTTCAGCAAGGTATACTTGAAATTATCCCCCGCGAGTCCCAAAGCCCAAACGAACGCAAAAACCGAACAATGCGCACTCCGAACCTGACGCCACCAACACAGCAGGACCTTCACTGCACGAGATTGGAGATTGCATGGTGGTCTCCTCCTGGCCAGTGACCTCCGGCTTGAGCACGGTCAGGTACTCGCCCTTCTTCTCTTCGATCGAGGTTTTAATCCTACAGGCAAGGACGCTTGCAGGCTTGTTGAATCTTAGTGCAGCTGTTGGGGAAGGGAATTGCGGCGTCGGCCGAAGTTAGAGATGTCCCGTGCTAATGCAACTGTGGCTGGACCGTCTCCTCTCCATAGCGTCCTCAAGAACTGCCATGCCCGTCGGCTTATCCCTGCATATGCCTCAGTGGAGTGGGCGCATGTAGCAACGCCAAGCAAACGGCCAGGACGCGAGTAAGAGTAAGACCTGCAAGCACCACTGACGGATACGATCCCACATGGAACAACCTCAGAGCCGACACGACTTCCATCAAGCTGCAAGTCAGCACGAAGAGTGGATGGGCTACCAAGTTGATCTTCACCTCGCACCAGGGGGAAACTGTCAGCCGTGCAATACTGTGCAGGCAAAAAACGTTGTAGACTTGTACTGTAATTTGTAATTACGCGCTTGGTGCAGAGTTCTATTTGTTCCAAGAGCTGCACATCAAAGTTTCTCGGCTCACCTCAGACTATGTGGTGTCTCTGCAACCGCGTCCGGCGTTCGGCAAACGAACGGCAGTCATGCTCGAGCATCCATTGGACAACTTTGGGGCCAGCACATAACAGAATGTCCACAGGACAAGCGTGACTTGTCATTGCCGAATCATTGGAATCATAAGCCTCCCCTAAACTCACAAGTCCGACAAGGGGGAGCCCTTGCCAACGACGGGCACCTCTCTACTCATCGGCCGCTAAGCCTCAAAACCCCAAAGAACCCGCTGCAGACTGCCTCGCACTCCTCCGTGCTAGCCTTGAAGCCCTCGGCCAAGGCATCCTGCACAGATAGATCTTCCGGGTTCGGCGCTCGCTCTCGGGGACCAGGCAAGGCATCCGGGTTTATGAAACCATATTTTTCCTGCTGCATTCCAGGTCGAACCCGTCTTCGACATGCGAGGGTCCAGCATGCGGGGTCAGGCCGGTAAAGACGTCATGTCTGAGTTCGTGTGGTAAGGTTTTGGGGATGCATGGACGGCCCAATTTTGGGACAGAGTCGGGCATGATCAGGCGAGGGAAGATCCCAGAGTATTTCCATTATTCTCGGATGTGTCGATTCTCCACAGTAAGCAATCCAATCCGCTTTGACATCTGTTGCACTTTCTGGTGCAGCGCACCTTGCAGCGCATGGTTTCTTCAGCCCTATAGGGTATTGCTGTTGGCGGCTTGATGGCAGATCCAGGCTCGAGCTTCTCTTCGTAAGTTACTTCTGTGAGCACCTGAAACTGATTGCCAGCCCTCTCATCAAGTACCATGGTCTGATTGAACACTTGGACGGCAACCTAGAATCCAAAGCAGTGTGCTAGAACATGTCCAACGTGCTGACATGTGCCGAGACCCTGGCATAGAGTGCAAACCTTCGTGCACACACGCAGAAGGGCTGCCTAGCCTTGACGGCATCGATGCCCTCGTATTTGTCGCAGGAGACCTGTACAGGCTGGTGGTATGTTGCTGAAACGGTGGCCGAATTAACGGAAGGCAGGCCCAGTCAAACAAGAGTGCTCGAGGGAGGAAATGCCTTGAGAGCATGCCGTCTGATAGCAAAGTCTGTACCCGTCAGCCCCATGTACACCCGAGCCTGAAACCTAGAACCTGTTGAGGGCAGGTGGTCTTCTTGCACAAGGAGCATATATCTCGGCCCTGCCAACAGCCTTAAGCATCAGTCGAAGTGGTCTTCTATCACACAAAATTTCGAGTACTGAGTACAGAAGGGCCTGTAGAAAAAACACCAGTCACTACCCGTACCCTAACCCCCTAGACAAGCGTGCTCCCAAATCCCGGCGCCTCAATTTTGGCTCGGAGTCGGATCGTTGCTTGGATCAACCTTCTCTTGAGGTTGGTCTCGATATCCTCCTGGGACAGTGCTCGGGTTACCGAAAGCCACAGGAAGGAAGCATCTTCACAAAGCCGGTTGGCATGGTCAGGCTTAGTCAGGGAGACGCCCTCAGACTTTACACAAGCAGGGTCTACAAGACCAGTCTACTTGGGTCTTGCCACAGCTGGAGAGCGGTCCTTGATCTTGTCCGCCAGGTGTGTGAGGTCCATACCTGGCTGGCTGAAGTCGATCTCCGACCAAAGGTCGATCTCCTGATTGATGTGCCTCGGGCGGCGGAGAACACCTCCGACGTCGTACTGGGCCATACAGGTATCTGGTATTGGTGTTGTATAGTTCTCAGAAGACCTCGTATGATAAGCTCCCATGTGCTTCTGTGAACTAGAGTCCTAGAGTGTTTAACATGGAACTCGACAACTAGCAGTCAAGCCCATGTCCTGACCTTGGAGAACCCGGAGCCCTTCGCTCCCTACCATATCTTCCACCGACTTCGTAGCCTGGAGACCTTCAAAACCATCTTACTGCAAGCTTCAGAGAGGCAGGCAAGGAGCTTCTTGTAAGCCTCGAAGGCATTGTTGTACTTCTTGTAAAGTGGCCAGGAGGCCTTGCAGCACAGCTCGTTCACCGGGATCTGGTGCGTCTGCGCTACGTGCCTCTCCAATGGCTGGGATACTTGCAGGCTGTAAGGAAGCCCAATGCCCTCAAGCCCACATGCTGACCTCGAAAAACACCGTGTCAGGCCGAGTCTGATTAAGAAAACCTAGTTCTTACAGGGCTCTTGATATGGATCCTACTTAGCTCTTCAGGGCTAATCCTGAGGTTCCTAGATTCAAGTGGTGGCCTCATGATGCCATGCACAGCCTTGGCTTTGGCAAAGGACTCTTCCTTGGCCGTTGCATCCTCGGGCTCCACTCGCCGCTTTGACAAGTCCACGTAGCCTTTCTCCTGGTCTACGCGCAGGACCATGCAGATTTCGGTTTTCCCAACCTTCACGAGCTTTGCTAAGGATCGAATCCGCCTCTTGGAAAGCTCGCTGTTCAGGAGCATGCCCTCATGATTGTCATACTCGAGCAGGGAGACGTATGAGCCCATGTCAACGATGCGCTTCACCTGCACGACCACAATCTCCTCCAGCTCGGGAAACTCAGCCTCGTAGTATCGCCCTTCTGCACTCGCCATGGCTCCGGGGTTGACCAAAATCCCTCGAGCAAGGCCTATGTCTACGCGCACGTCCTGCGAGCCGCAAAGAGTTTTTGGGACATCATAGATACTTGCTTCAGGGAAGCTGACACTTTGCAGGAGCCAGCAGTTGATTCCCCGACGCCGAAAGAGCAATGCTACCGCGAGTTGTGTTACTGCTGTTGCTCTAATTAGCGTTGAGTCGTTGAATACCCAAGATCGATCGCACATGCACGCTGTCAATTCTAAGGTCAGTTTTTTTGGCACGAGTAACTGCCAGCGCCGCCAGGACCTCCCAGAAATCCAGAAACGCGAGCCATAGTCGGCTGATAGTGGAGCGGACCGACTTCCGGCTGGAGATATAGATCCTGGGACGGCTCAGTTAGGCTGAAAACGGCTGCGCGCTGAGAGTCGCTGTTGCTTCTGTTCGGGCCAGGCCCACTGAAAGACCTCCAAGCCTGGCAACCCAGACCTGATCCGTTTCTGGTTCGGCTGCGCCAGCTGACGTTGGAAAGACTTTTCTGACCCTTGCCAAGCAACAGCGGCCGACAAAGTCCTTAGACAGGGAGCCACAAGCATTTAGCTAATTGAAGCAAGACCCTCTTCGATCAGCTTTCAAGACCGGCTTTCGGCAAGAAAATGGACAGCTTGGAATCAGATGCTCGTGGCTGGTGCATCAATAATCGACGGAGAGGGATGAGGAGCGAGTATTTTTATTGTCTATTTTTCTGGGTTTTTTTTTGTTTATTTTTCTGGTTTCACTTCTG